TATTATTATTATTATTATTATTTTTTGGTACCAGGGATTGATCTCGGGTCCTTGTGCTTGTGCAGCAGGTGGCGAAACCACTGAGCTAAATCCCCGGCTGGATATTATTGTTGACATTACTATTATTATGACTATGAAACCAGTCTTCTAGTCTCTAGACTCATTGGTGGAGATTAGGAAGCCAACTATAGGAATGCAGTTTTCTGGCTTGATATGGGTATATTAAAAAGCCCACAGCTTTTTCATTTGAAAAATTTCACACCCATATAAAAATAGACAGAATAGTAAAATGAATCTCCATGTATTTCAGTATTGACAATGCTCAACACATGACCAATTTTATTTCATTCACACTCACCTGCTGCTTTCCTCTCTAAATCCAGATTGTTTTGAAGCAAATCCAAGATAACATATTATTTCATCTACAAATGTTTTGTTATCTATCTCTAAATGGTAAGGACTTCGAAAAACCAAGCCAACCCATAATCACTATCAAATCTCACTTAGACTTTAATATCATCAAGAATTTGGTGAACATTAACTTTCTGTCCTCTAGTTTTAATCAGGATCCAAATAGGATCCCTGCGTTGCAACTGGTTGACATGCCCCTTATTTCTCCAAAAAATCCTAATTTCTCCTTAATTCTCTCTATTTCTGTCTCTTTCCTCCTTGCATGGTATTTGTTGAAGAAATACCATGGGTTGTTTGGACAGTTGGGATTCCCAGAACCTGGATTCTCTGATTGCATCCCCATGGTGTTATTCCTGTGAACTGGTAATTAGGTTTAGAGACTTATTCAGGTTCAGTGTTTTGGCAAGAACAATTCCTAGGTCATAAAGAGTACTTTCATCAGGAGGCGCATACTATCTGGTTATCTTTCTTTTTACTGATGTTAGCAGCCTTGATGATAATTGTTGAGATCCCTTATTCCATGAAGAATTGCAAAAAGATGACAATTTGAGGCCATCCCTATTTCCTTATTGATTAGTTCCAAGACTTTTATAAAGAAAAAGCATCTCTTCATTAAAATTTTGGTTATTATGAGGTGGAGTTGACATAAGAAAGGCAGGATAAATGATTTTTTCCCCTTTGTTTAACAGTTTTCAAAATAGTGAGTTGGTTCCTTTGTATTCTCCAAAGGTGATCAATAAAATAATTTTGAGTATTATCATGAAGTTAGATTTAATATATTTGATGTATTTTGATCCATTGCTATGGTTATTCTGATTGATGCTTACATTTTTTCCATCCGTGGCCAGTAGGAATATCAATTCGTACTGGTGTTTTAAAACAGCCCAGAGATTTGATAGCCTTTTTTGCTATCCTAATATCAGAACAAAATGTATCAGGCTCACGTTGAATACTTTCTGCTCCTATATTTATCTATATTTATATTTAAAGAGATCTATATTTAAAGAGATATTAGTCTTGTAATGTGTGTGTCTGGTTTGGCTATCAGACTGATCCTGGCTTCATATAATGAGTTGAGAAGTATTTTTTCCTTTTCAGTGTTTTGGAAGAGTTTATATAAAATTGGTATAATTACTTCCATAAATGTTTTGTAGTGTTGACCACTGAATATCTGGACCTGGTAATTTCTTTGTGGAAGTATCTTAAATTATAAATTTAAGTTCTTAATTAGACATAGGGCTATTCAGGTTGTCTATTTCATCTTGAGTAAGCTTTGGTAGTTAGTGACTTACAAAGAATTTGTCTATTTCATCTAAGTTGGCAAAGTTAGTTGTACAAAGTTGTTCATAAACTGCTGAATTATCCTTTTAATATATGTAGACTCTGTAGTGTTGTAACCTTTCATTCTTTATATTGGTAATTTGAATTTTCTTTTTCATTTGATCATTCTGACTAGGGTTATGAATTTTAATGATCTCAAAGAAATAGCTTTTGGTAGAATCGATTTCTTAATTACTTTTTCTGCTATTTTATAGTTTTTTACTCTGATCTTTATTTTTTCTTTATTCAACTTGCTTTTCATTTAATTTGGTTTCTTTTTTTAATGAACTTTATTGGTACATTTTAGGTATACAATATAATGACATTCATCATTGGAATTTGCACCTTACATAATCTCTCTTGGATCTTATTTTTTCCCCATTTCCCTGCCCTCCCTTCAACCCC